CACGTATCGACTTGTGAGGGTCTTGATTCTTGTGGGGAGGAATCCCTTCAAAAGCTCTATGCCACACTCCACGGAAATGGTGCTACTATTGAAAATGTGGCCTTTTTGGAATGGACTTGTTGAGAGAAGCGGCACTCCGAAAGACCCTAAGTAATAAGGCATTCCATGAACAATCATTACTTGAAAAGAAAATTAAAGAAACTTACCACGAGTGGAGTCGAAACTCTCACAAGACTTTTCCAATGTAATACCACAAGAGGTTTCGGGATTACCGGATAATACTTTTACCTGTCACGAAAAGCGTTACGCAGCAACATCACGACTCCGAAGGAGGAGTGGTGTTGCTGGTAACGCGTTGAGTGTTAAATGAAAGTATTAGGTAATCCTGAAACATCGAGTGGTATTCAAAAGGTTATACAACGAACTAAACTTTAATACTTTAAAATTTAAAAAAAAATTCTATAATAGAATTTGCTATAAATGGCACCAAGCGCGATCATCCCAAAAGGCTTATCACTTGTTAAGCCTCTCCATATGACATATGGGAATAATGTACAGTGAGTTGTATAATCATTAAAATTTTCTCGGTAATCGATAGTGCACTTAGGAAGATGACTGCCCCCCTAAGCCACAGTCGAGCTCCCAGGGCAACAGCCAGATAAGAAAAGGGACTCTTCCATTTTCTCTTCCAGAATAAATAGATTTCACTTGACAGTTTTGAAAGACAACTTATCAACCTGTCAACCCTCAGCTATGTGAAAAGTACTACGTTCGAAAACTATTAACGAGGTTGAAGAGCAACAAATTACTACGTCGAGAAGATCAAGGTAGTACAAAAGCCTATGGCCTTCTCGAGGTCACCGATAAAATAATAAATTCAGCCGGCAATAGATGCCTGCATATGGCTGAATAATTATATAAAATTATAAAATGTGAGAAATATTTATATAAAAAAAAAACAAGTGACATTTGCAATGTTACAACAATATCCTCCCAAGTCGAGAACAGAGTCATTATGTTACCTGAACCTTTTTCTATGATAAAACAAAATTAGTACCAAGATGGTAAGTTAATTAGATGAATTTTCATAAAATTGAAAATAAAAGGAAGATTCTTTTTTCCATTACTACTCAAAGGCACTTCATCCCTCTTCCTGCATAAATCCGTGAGCACGCTATACAGAGTTAAGCTCTTAAAACAAAATATGTTTTTTATTATCATTTTTTTAATCTTTTCAAAATTAATTATGACAAAGAAAACATTTCTAAGCCTTTTCAAAACTCTGCGAGCATAACTCGATAAATACCGGAGCGCACTTGTTTACGAAAACAAACAAAAATTTCAAACCCAACAAACAAAAATGAAAAGCGAAAGATAAAATAGGTCAAGAGCGGCCCGCGCTTCTGTAATTCCGGCCGGTTTAACTTGTTGGTATTTTAATTAAAACCGGCGAGTTTTTGAGGTAGGTACACCGAATTAGTATCCAGATTTGGAGGAGGCAATATTTTTTTTTTTGGGAAAAATCAATGATCGCATTCAAATGATCAGTTTAGAGCATTATTGCGGGGAGCAGTAATCTATCAACTTCCTTCGCTCGCCCCTATTCATTTCGATAAGAGAAAAGAAGACAGCAAGAGCGATAGGGAGGGCAATAACGATGCCAATTTTTCATAATATACTTAAACCACAAATTGTTATTCTTTTTGAAAGTGATCTTGATCTACGACCCAGTTCCGTCAACAGCCTTTCTACTCAATCAATCTAATGTAATGGAATATCATCATCAAACAGCCTCTTTTCACATCTATTCTTGAACATAGGCCTCCAGTTATCTCTGTTCTAAGCAGTTGCGTTCCAATATGAGAGAATTAGTTCGTCTGTCTAGTGAGTGGAAGGTTTTCCTTGGTTTCGTTTGTCGGCTCTTGGTCTCAACTCAATGTGTTTCTTCGTCCATCTGCCGTCCTCAGATCTTGCGACGCGGCCTGCCCATTTCCATTTTTGTTATGCGATACTTTCTACAATATCGTCCACCCCAGGTCTTATGCGAATCTCATTCCTTACTCTATCTTTGTCCAACCAAGCATGGATCTTTCCATTAAACTCTCAACTTTTCTGCTTATGCTTTCGTAAGAATCAATGTCTCCGTACGTCAAATTTGAATGAAAAAATATCCAAATGTGTTAGTTTGTGAATCTCCAAACTGCATTTCCGTTTAAATTTTGATTTGCATGTGTCACATTCAAAAGGATAAATATCCGAGTGTGTTGAAATGTGCCTTCCCAAATTACATTATTTATCCTTAAATTTTGCATTACAAGTGTCACATTCAAATGGATAAATATCCGAATGTGTTAGTTTGTAGATCAGGACTGGGAGGACACTGGTTGAAAGCTTTTTGTTTCAGGGATATTGGAATTTTTGCCCTTAACACATGCCTAATTTTCCCGAATGCTGTCCATCTCAAGGTTATTCTTCTAGTCAATTCGCATATTTGATTATCTTTGTAAATTCCCATCTCATGAGATATTACCAAGGTATACGTATACTTGTTCACTATTTCCATGTTATTATTGCCTATATTTGCTCAGTGGGGCCCATTCTGGTTTTGGAGAAGTTCATCTTCAGGCCCACTTTTTGCGTGGAATTTTTGAAGTTCTTGAAACATTTCTTTAGCTTCACCCAGAGTGTCTGATATAAGGACAATATCATCTGCTAATTGAAGATTATTAAGACTTTCTTCATCGATGATTATTCCCTTAAGCTCCTAAGGAAATTTCGTTATTATAACCCAAAAAAGTAGTAGCTACACGTCTCTTCAGGGTCGCCTTACCCCAGAGAGTCTTGCCTTTCAGTGCATAGCTGCCTATACGTGCGGGAACCAGTTACATTCCCGTATGTGTACGTAGAGCCCCGAACATGAGAATCATATGGCTCACCTACGTAGCCCCTTTGGTGATGTACCCACTAGCAGACAATATACGAGGCCACTTTTTGTAATTTTGTGTTTTCCTGAAGAACAACCCTTAACCTGAGGTCCTATCCAAATTAGCCGCGAGGCGTGTGACATATGGTGGAGGCGCCGTTTGAAGAACCTGTGATGCTGAATCTCCCTATTTAGCATCGAAGTACCTAAACGAGAGCACTGAAAGGAATTTATGGACTGTCGCCATTGTATCAAGAATGATGTATGAATACGCGAGGCGTGTGACAATATGTTTTCAATAATTTCGCAATATCGGTGAACAACTCTACTCTCTGGATTACAGAATGTTATGACACAGATTGAACACATTTCGAATTTTTGTAATTAGTGTTGGCTTTTCGGAATACATGGTGATTCGAAACCCCAAGAAAAAAACCTGTTCGAAGAGATCTGGTAGAATTGAAAGTAGAAAAATTACTTTGACTTGAGCTTCACAGAATCTGAACTCTGGGACTGCACTGAGCTTAGGTAATAACATTGAATAAACTACTTTGAGTTGAAATTGTCCAATCCATTTCAATGTTACAGTCATTAAAATTTCAAAAATCAAACATTGGATGTTGATTAAGAAACCTGCTTTTCACAAAATAATGTTTTATAATTTGTAGTAACGAACCTATCATTATTAATAATACATTTTCTAACAAATTCAAAATCTCGTCCATTTCATGACGGAACTCATTTCCGCTTGTCGTTCCCTTCACCGAAAAGTTAATGCGATCATTCTGATACGTGAATAATAATGTCATGACTAAATTTACTTTGTAAATAATACACTAGCGATGTTCGCCTAATGGAACTTTGCTCAGTCGAGGACAATTTTTATTGAATATTTTTCCAATTAAAACTTCTTGTACGTATGTACGTGACATTGTGTTATTTCAAACAAAAACTATTGAATGCATTTTGTGGCGACCACGTATTTGCCTTTAACTACTATTAATGGAAAATCGTTGTTAACAACTTTGTTGCCGCACAACTACTGTTTCAGTAATGCAATTTTTTTTTTTTTAAACCATAGAAATATTCAGCTTATCGGAATTAGGTAAGTGCAAACTTTACAGGAATGGAAATCCGTGCCAATGAAAACCCTTTTAAAGTTTTATCTCGAAATTACTGGCCTATCTATATTTTCCAAATGCAACGAAAACACAAATTTAATCCCGAAAGCGTATTCGTCGAATTTCGGATAAAAAATAATACGATTTTAACTGACGATTTTTTATTTCGCTATTAACGAGGGTCCTTCCAAAAAAAAATGGGAAAAAGTGTAATTTTTCCGGAGCGAAATTTAATTTTACAAGCTCGGACGGGTATTGGCGTTGAGTTTCCATTTGATTGCAATCGGTGACACCAGGTAGCTATAACGAAAATCTAAAATCAACATGTCCTCCGTTGTATTTTTCATCAACATTATACCTGAAATATTCTAATTTGGAAAACATAACTTTTTGATTAATGTGCCAATAGAATATTATCCAAGACATTTTCAATGTTTTGTTTCAAAGAGGGCATACGTGATCAGGTAATCGGTTGTTGGAACATTGACCAACAACATTTTATACACGATCATTCAGTATTGAAACGATTGATAGAATTTCATTGAAGTTAAAAAATTAGGTATTTCACTTCTAACATAAACAGTCATTTTAGTACTGACAAATCGAACTTTGAATAGTGCTTTCATGTTTCAATGTTGTATCATACCAGTGATAATCAGGAAATTAAATTATTAATACCGAGACCCTGATAATAATTATTGAACCACAAAATTATCAATCACTCAAAGCCTAACTAAATATTTTCTTTGTATATACAGAACAGAGTGACAACCAAATTATAGCTGACCTTTTGTGAATAATTCTGTAAATTCAACTGATCATGATACACAAAAATTTATATATTTCTGAAGGAAAGAGTGTCATACACTCAAATACACATTATAAACTGCATGTACTGGACCCCAAATTTTTACATTATAAAATATGCAGTTTGCAATTCAAGTAAACAAACTTACCTATTCTTTCATAAAGTTCTCCCCTACCACTCACTCTCACTGACAATAGTCCAACAGTCACAATCCACAAAACAACCATTTTTTTGTGATCACACATAATTCCACACCAAATTACCTCGATTAGTTGAAATTTGATTGAAAAGTTTTCGACAACATCTAGAACCGCAAACTCCGAACTTTCCCGATCCGGTAAATTTTTACGTAATCGTCAAGCTCGCCCCCTGTCGGTTCGGTGTCCGGGCAAAACTCCAATCCAAACAGAGTCAAAACAGAGACTAAGTTCAGCTTCACTTCTATTGGGGGAGTATCTCTATGAGCCGTAAGCAGAGCACAGGCGCTATATCGTTTTGCGTTGGCGCTTGTATATTTTCCTACGGTGCAGTTTGTTCTATGTAGGTTTTCTCTATGTTTGTTTTATTGCTTTCACTGGGGTTTCTTCAAGATTATCCTACAGGGGAGTTAATAAATAAAACGGATTAAAGATGTTTATCGTGCAAAATTTATAAAATATTCTAATGCAACGAAAACTTCTTCAGCCTGAAGGGTTAAATATCATCTTAAATATTCAGTTGTGTTGTTTCGCAAACACAAATATATATTTTTTTAACTATAATGCAAGCCCTTACTTGTTTTAATAACAAATTATAGAGGATACTATTCAAATTGAGTAACTATCAAGTCAATATTGATACTTTAAACATTATTATCAGTAGTATTAATGTTCACGAACTTTCTTGGATCAAAAACAGTTTAATGGAAAATTTGAATAACAACTATATAGTCGAGGTGCTTCTCAAATTTATTGGAATAGGATTATTTGCTAATAGTAAACTTTGCAAAAAGAAATTAATATAATAATTTCAATTCGTTCCATTAAATATTAATTTCAAGCTCATACAGTTGGTAATTGTTTAAGTCCCCTGGCGCCATGTGGATTTTGCACCCAAATAAGCCGACTATTTAGAGACAACAGTAAAATAATCCGTGGGAAGTATTACGAGGTCTAACTTCGTGGCGTTGTTTGACTGGAAATAAGAGAGGGGAATAGAAGCAAAGGAGTTGTTGGAATAGAATAGAATTAATTTAACAACATAATTTTTACTATATTTTATATGAAACTATTAGCACGCAATATTTGATAAAATTTTTTTCAATAAACCTTAGTAAACCCAAATTCCCGCTTCCAAGTCTATGATGTAGACTTAGATAGGTTGGATGAGGTTGTAAAAGCCAAGTTCCTATCCTGCACCTTCAAACTGGGGTTCGTGGTGATCACCTGTGAGGATGAAGACACAAGTAAGTGGCTATTTCAAACGGCGGAGACCTTAAAGTCCTGAGATGGGGCTGCACTAAGGACAATGGAGGAATCCAGAATTCCTTGGCCGCATATCTTTGTGGGACACTAAGAGGTGCAAGAATCTTCATCAATTCTGACAGTCAGGCAGCACTTAAGGCTCTTAACAGCTTTGTCACTAAATCCAGGCTAGTCTGGGACTGTCAGCAAATTCTAAAGCAACTGGCGAACTGCAATAGAGTCACTCTAGCATGGGTACCAGGGCACCAAAACATCGTGTTACGGGATGATTTTTCCTGTGCCAAAATAAAAGGAAATAAGCGTATTCGCCTCACTGAATAGCATACATTCATCAAGCCACTGTTTTCTTTCCAATAGTTGTGGCCACACTTTACTTCAAACTTTTCATTCTTCCCAGAATCATTAAGTTAGAGGTTTATTAATGGCATTGATTTCCTTTTTGTAGGGTTAAAATAAGAAAATAGTCAATAAATTTATTAATAAATAAAATCACAATATTTACATTAGAACAGCTGATGGTCTGATCCGATTAGATTGACTAGATTGACATCGCTCCAAATAAGGTCAATGACCAGTACCGACTAAATTTAAATAAGTCCCATGCCCCCACTACCATCAAAATTCCCCAGGACCTTTCACCTTGGAGTTTTGACAGAACCTTTTTAAAGGACATTGGAGGCACATTTTGCCGATTTCTGAGTTTTCCAATTTTCGCTCATAGATCTAGGATGGCTAATCCGTTATTTTAGCACCAAAGCTCCTTGCGGGGATTTCTTTGTGAGCCGAAAAAGAGCAACGTGATCAATTGTTTGTTCCTAAAGGCCAAAGTATTTTGGTAAGTGGTTTTTCTTATTCGTCTTCTCTGTGTTTCTCTATTGCCTATGTAAAAGCATAGTTTTCTGTTAATTATATGGTTAAATTCCGAATATTGGATATACCTACCTATCGCTCCACACCCAGTCTCATAATGTCAATCTGTTTCAGGCCTTTCATTTGTCACGCTTTAATCCTTAACTTTGAGTAAAGAGTTAAACGTTAAGCTTACTGTATATTTCAAGTTGTCCGCTAGACAATTGGAAGCTTTAGTGACTTCCAGTTACTGAACTTGAGTGCCAAGGGCCAGTTGCTTCTTGTCGCGGCCTTGATCCAGTTCCAGGCCATCGGAAACACTGGAAGATATCAATCCAATCCTTTAGGTTCGCCTCAAGGGATTAGGGACTACTTAGGTTTGATAAGTGTGTTGTATTGTCTGAATATCTGGAACCTATCAAACCTTACCAACCCCTTGTTGAAATAAATCACCACAGCGATGCAGTCTTCTACTACAATATTAAATTTGCCCTTCAGGTTATGTATTGTTACTTCAATTTTAATTAATTATCTATACTACCTTTATTATCCCATAGTATTAAATTTGCCCTTCAAGTTATGTATTGTTACTTCAACTTTATTTATGATCTATATCTCTCTAATATCCCATAAATACATGCTGCACTGAATACAGGAAAATACTTGTACACCGGGGTGAAATGGCCATTTACGAAGGTACTGCATTTAGTAAGCTTGTCTGTTAATTTACATTTCAGGTATTATCGCTGTCAAGTCAAGTTGAGTAAAATTATTGTGAATACTATTTTTAGAACGTAAGGTTAGGTACTCCTAGTCGATTTATTTTGTTCTTGTTCTGGTTCCAGTATTATTAATTTTCAGTATTCCAGAGCGTTCGGAAAACCCACTCCGAACCTGCTCTAGAGTCAAACTTGTTCTGGTTCTAATTAAAAACCCGTACCTGATTGTAGCAATGCGTTTCACTTATGTCCTTCCTTCTTGTTTACTTTTATATTTCAGGTTGTGTTGCTATAGGTACGTAGAAGTTTCTTGCTTTCGTTATATCGGTTTATTTCGTGTACTGCAGGGAAAAGCAGGTGGCGCTCTATATTTAATTATTTTATTCTCTACTTAACTATTATAGATCCATAATACCTAGGAAACGCAATACGTTAACATACCTATAACAACCTGATCCATAACGCCCGCTTTTGCGGGCGTTATGATCTATAACACCCGCTTATAATACCCTGAGGTGTTTTTGTTGTTGTTATTATGCTTTCGTTATATCGGTTGATTTCATGTACTGCAGGGAAGCAGGTGGCGCTCTATATTTAATTATTTAATTGATTCACACCCCTCTCTGCATTGGAAGCTAGTCGGCAACCCTTCACACGAAATCCCGTTTCTAGATTTCAGCCACCAACCAACCCTTTCTTTATTTTTTTGTTTTAGTTACCCATTCACTGTCTCACTTCCTCAAAGTTTATTATTTACTTTTCAATCGTGTTTTGTGGGCAACAAATTTACTTGGCACATACCCAAGTACCAAGGATCAGTAGCCTGACGAGGGGTATCGGTTACGGCAGAGGGCACTCTATTTACTGTTGTAACTGACCACTATAGTCTTAAGTGGCTTTATTCTATTAAAGACCCTATAGGAAGAATTGCCCGTTGGTCACTAAGGTTGCAACAGTATGACTTCGACATTGTTCACCGGAAAGACAAAGATAACGTCGTCCCTGATGCCTTTTAACGGTCTGTCCCAATTCTCGACACCATCCAGGCTTTTGCCGTAACCGATACCCCTCGTCAGGATCCTTGGTACTTGGGTATGTGCCAGAAGGTGGAAAAATTTCCAAACAAGTATCCCCTTTGGTGGTTGGAAACAGGGAAATTGTACAAAAGGGCACAGGTTCGCTACCCCGGATTGTCAAGTCCGACTAAGAGTTGGCTAATGTTGGTTCCGGAGGATGAACGATCGGCGATCATCAAGTCCAATCATGATCCTCCGGAGTGTGGCCATCTAGGAGTTTTCAAGACGTTTTCCAGGATTTCCCAAAAGTTTTATTGGCCAGATATGCGTTAGGATATTGCCAAGTACATTCGAAGGTGTGAGGTTTGTCTTCAAATGAAACCTCAGCAAAAGGCTCCGGCAGGGCACATGCTTAGCTCCATTCCCACTACTTCTGGATCCTGGCAGATTATCAGCATCGATCTTGTGGGCCCACATCCTAGATCTTCCTCGGGCTATTCTTACATTTTTTCAGCCTGCGATTTATTCAGCAAGTACGTTTTGTTCTTTTCCTTGCGCACTGCGACTGCTTCGTACAAATTGGCCCCACGTTGGGCGCCAATTTGTTACCCGCAAAACACGATTGAAAAGTAAATAATAAACTTTGAGGAAGTGAGACAGTGAATGGGTAACTAAAACTGAAAAATAAAAAGAGAGAGTTGGTTGGTGGCTGAAATTTAGAAACGGGACTTCGTGTGAAGGGTTGCCGACTAGCTCCCAATGCGGATAGGAGTGTGGATCAATTAAATAATAAAACATAGAGCGCCACCTGCTTTTTCCGGCAGTACATGAAATCAACCGATATAACGAAAGCAAAACAACAACAACAAAAACACCTCAGCACGCATAAGCGGGCGTTATGGATCAGGTTGTTATAGGAATGTTAACGTATTGCGTTTCCTAGGTATTATGGATCTATAATAGTTAATTAGAAAATAAAATAATTAAATATAGAGCGCCACCTGCTTTTCCCTGCAGTACATGAAATCAACCGATATAACGAAAGCAGGAAACTTCTACGGACCTATAGCAACACAACCTGAAATATAAAAATAAACAAGAAGGAAGGACAGGAGTGAAACGCTCTGCTACAATCAGTTACGGGTTTTTAATTAGAACCAGAACAGATTTGATTCTAGAGCAGGTTTGAAGTGGGTTTTCCGAATACTGGAACCAGAACAAGAACAAAATAAATCGACTAAGTATTTTCCTGTATTCAGTGCAGCATGTATTTATGGGATATTAGAGAGATATAGATTATTAATTAAAGTTGAAGTAACAATACATAACCTGAAGGCCAAATTTAATACTATGGGATAA